GGCCCGGCCCCCTCCCTGGTGCAGACGCTCCAGGTGAGAAACAGGCGCCCTGCCTACGCCGCCTTCAGCCCCCGGCCGGTCGTGAGGCCAGCTGGGCTGCCACGCCCTGCGGTGTCCCCCCTCGTTCCGGGGGCCGGCCAGCCGAGGGGTTGATTGTATGAATCACTTTCTTATTCTCTTTCAAGAAACAGAAGTGCTGTCTCCTGGCTGTTTCTGATATTGAATCTTAAGTTAGTCAAACTCGTGTTACTTTTCGGAGTCCCACATTTTTACTCTCCGGCAGTCGTTCTCTCTAGCCTGGCCCTGTGGTCATCAGCTTGACGGGTCCAGGATGCTTGAGTGCAGGTAGAAAGCCAGACTTGTATGACTCGGTCCGTCCAGCCTCCTTCCTCCGCTGGACAGCACGGACTGAAAACCAGGAGTGACATTAAGAGCATTCAGGGTGGCAAAATGGAGACAGAACTCCTATATTAAATGAAGTGGGAAGACTTCAGGCCCAAGGCAGCACTCACTGGTCTGTGCACGTGGAGGTAGGCGGGGAGCTGTGTGCGGGCGGGTCAGAACCAGCGTGCGGGGTCGGGGCGCTGCTGGAGCCCGCAGAGCGGGGTGGGCTCTAGGGGGGAGCGTACAGCAGCCGAAGCGGATGGAAGCACGTGCGAGTCTGGTGGCGGGAGCTCCTGGGGGAGGCTGCCCCGTGAAAGGGGCTCGGTCACTGGTCACTGACACCCATGCCGGGGCGTCGGGTCTGTAACTGATGGCTGAACGGGTTCCTGTAAACTTGTAGACAAGGCCTGATTGCCTGGTAGACTGTGAAGTGATAGGTGAGTAACCGCAATGGCGGATCGACAAGGCGGGAGGAGGGGGGAGTGGGGAACAGTAGCCAGGGGGTGGTGCGTGGGTTGAGAAATCAAGGTTTCAAGTGTTTTTCTTCCTGTTTTTTTTTAACAGTAGTATAACGAGTTACATGAAATGTCCAGAACAGGCGTCTGTAAGGACAGTAGAAGGGAGGTCTCCAGGGTCTTGGGGAAGGGCGACATGAGGAGTGACAGGAGGCGGGGAGACAGTGATCACAGCTCGGAGTGTCCCCGAAGTGTTGCCTTGTGCACCTTAAACGAGCGAATTGTATAGGATGTGGATTTACCGCAGTAACGCCGCTACTTTACAAGGTGGTTAGAGTACACTGGAAAAGGCACGCCCCTGACGGGTTATCTGGTGAGGACCCTGTGCCCTCACCCCCGAGGCACTGCGCAGAGCCCCCTTCACGGTGACAAGGGTTCCGCATCTGCGGGGGAGGGTGTAGCTCAGAGGGAGAGCGCGTGCTTAGCTCGTACGCGGTCCTGGCTTCAGTCCCCAGTCCCTCCGTTAAACGTAACGGTAACAAGTGAACCCGACCCCCCTCAAAGCGAAGTAGAAGAGAACGAACGTCGGGTCTGAGTCCAGCGGGCAGGTCTTTTCCTTTGGGAGCTGTTGCCTTTACAGGTCGTGAGACACGTGCAGCCCTTCCTACCCTTATCTCGGCCCTCATTACCGGAAAGGGCAGACAGAAGACGGTGCGGCGCAGTGATCGCGTCGGCTGGGCTCGCGTGGCCGGCGCTGGTTCTCAGCGCCCCTGGCTGCCCGCCTCTGTTTCAGCAGTCTCACTGTGTGTGCACTTTGTAGTCTGAAGCTGTCTTGAGGCTTATTTTGGAAATAGGGAGTATGCGTCACAAATAACAACTTAAAAATGACTCCCATCCCCTGTTGTTTCAAAGGCTGAGTATTTTTATTTCTTTCCATTTGTAGATGTTGAAAAGCTCTTTCTCCTTTTTAAAATTTTTATCAAATCTTCATTTATTAATTAGGCACAGTAAAAGAGTATAGTAACTAATAACAAAATAGAACAACTGTAAATGTACCATATTCTACAAATTTTATGCCTTTTCCATCTGAACTAAGTACTTACCACACGCTGTGGCCACAGCTTTTACAGTTGGAGGTGTGACAGCAAAACTAGCGCAAATTTCTTTTTCCTTATTCACAGTTCCATGGATGGCAGGTTCATTCTTACCATAGATCTTAGCAACCTCAACACACAATTTTTTTTCTTTTCTTAAGTTGGGAACTTTTACCTTTGTGCTTAAGAGAAGCACTTTGCAGCTTCTCTTTGGAATATTTGAATTGCCAGCATTGCCACTCTTGTGCTTCGGGGCCATTATTAAGTAAAATAAGGGTGACTTGGGCACAAGCCCCGTGACCCCACAGCAGGTGATCTGATGCCCGAGAGGGCTGCAGACTGGTGGACGGCGGGAACTGCCCGACAGAGGGACAGCACGAGAGTTCATGGTGCTGCTCAGAGCAGCACAGAGTTTAAAACGTGTCAATTATTTATTTCTAGAATTTCTATGTAATAGTTTTGGACCAAGGTTGACCATGGGAAGTGAAACCATGGGTGGGGGAGGGGTGACAGTAATTCACACACTGTGTGATTCACCCACTTAAAATACATAGTTAGTGGTTTTCAGTATATTCCCAGAATCGTGCAGCCATTGCCACAGTCACCCTTGGGACATTTTCATCCCTCGGAAGAAGCTTCATGCCCTTACCCGTGGGTCTCGTCTCTCCCCAGTCCGCTCCGCCTCAGGCAGCCACTGCCCACTTTCCATCTCCATGGTAGGCTTCCCTAATCTGGCCATTTAGTATGAGTGGACTCGTGCAGCGTGTGGCCTTTCGTGTCAGCATCTTTCACTTAGCACCGTGTTTTGCAAGTTCACCCATGTTGTAGTAGCTGTCAGTCCTCCGTTCCTGTTGATTGCAGAACATTTCATTGCGTGGACAGACCACATTTTGCTCTCTGTTCATGAACAGATGGAAATCTGGGTTCTTTGCATTTCTGACTATCGTGAACAATGCTGTTATGAACGTTTACTTACACGTTTTCAGACGGAGATGTTTTCATTTCTCTTGGGTGTCTGCCTAGCGGGAGAGTTGCTGGGTCACACAGAAACTCTGTTCAACCTCTTGAGGAGCCTCCAGACTGCTTTCCAATGCAGCCGAGCCAGTTTGCACTCCCACCAGCAGTGTGTGAGCGTCCGGTTTCTCCACACCCTTGCCAGGGCTTGTTCGTATCCTGGCTTTTTGCCTTTTGCTGTTACAGTGGGTGTGCAGTTCTCAAGCCTTACCCTAGGACACAGGTGGCACTCAGATTGACTGAGAACGGTGCTGAGGGCACAGCAGACCCACGGCCCTCCTGTGAGCGACATGACTGTGTGTCAGGTTTTCGCATCAAGCCGGGGGCTGCTTAGCTTTATGATCTCTTGGTCTTTTTCTCGATTCGCAGGTGGTGGTTACCAACACAATCCCACACGAAATCCAGAAGCTCCAGTGCCCCAAAATCAAAACTGTGGACATCAGCATGATCCTCTCAGAAGCCATCCGTCGGATTCACAATGGGGAGTCCATGTCCTACCTTTTCAGAAACATAGGTTTAGATGACTGACGGGTTCCCGTGTTAAAACTCCTGAGGGCCAAACTGGGGTCTGAGAATGAGTGCCGTGAGGTGTTGCTGGCTGGGTGTGTTTCACAGGGGCCACCTGTGTCTCGTTCCTTCCTTTTTGTTCATTCCTACAGAGACAGACCAACTTCTTACGTCTGCGTGGGTGTTTGTGAGTCTGGGGGGCAATTTTTATAACAGAAAAACTGTATTGTCCTCTTAAATAAGTTAAGACCTGGTTGTGTTTAGTTTAACTATTTAAAAAATAACTGGGAATAAGATTTTTAAGCTCACAAATAGCCTTTTTCCAAAATTGCTTGAGCCCAAGTGCTTAAAAAAGTTAATAAAATAAAATGATCTACTAATGATACCGCAGTTGAGAAGCCAAAAAGATTCTCCTGTCAACTCCAGTAAACTTCCAGAAGTGCTTTTATAGACAAGCTTATGGAATATGTGATGGTTATTTATTTTCTGCAACAAAAGAAGGAATAAAAACTTACCGTGTTTGTGTGGTTTTTTTTAAATTTTGTGTTTTGGCAATTGTTTTATAACTGAAATAAAATGGAAGCTGAATGTGAGTGCTGTGGATGTCGAGGTGTATGGCCGCTTGTGGGGTTGTCTGCAGCTTCGGGTGGCACGGCAGCCTTCAGGGTGTGATGTTCCCTGTTCTGTCTGTCCAGGGCCCTGCACGTTGATGCATAGTCACTTGACTGCAGCAGCAGAGGAGTTGGAACGCCAGCTGTGAGCTCAGGGGGCAGGTCAGGAGCTGGTGTGCGCTGCCGTCGCATCTGGGCGTGGCTTTGTCTTGCTGCTTGTTTGACAGCACAGTCATTCCCGGAACAGAAGGAACCACTGCATGCTCTGGCAGATGCTTAGGGGGGTGGTTACAGAGGGCAAGTGATGCGACCTTTCTCTGTGTCAGGCATCGAGTATTGTCTGTCTTAGAGCTCAGAACTCAAGACTGTACCTCAGAGTTTACCAGGCTGTGACACACTGGGGTCCCATGAGCTATGCCATGAGGTCGTGTAATGGCAGTCCCCTCCAAGGTCATCAGGAGAAAATTAAGACTTTGTTACAAAGAAAAGATGACTTTTTCTTCCAGAAAACCTTAAGCCTTTTCTTTCTGCCTGTTTTTGTTAGAATTCTGGAATAAAATAGCAGTTGACTTAGCACAAAATTAAGATTAGTAACCTACTGTTTGCCACTTCCGAGAGCAGCCTGACTCTTTGGGGCCTTGCCCTGGAGCAGGCCTGGGGCCCCGTGTGTGCAGAGGCACTGAGGCCTGCACTCCCAGCGTCTTGTCCCAGCTGTTGGATGGTCTCCTGAGCATCCCCTCTGCGCTCATGCCACCCAGCAGTGCCCAGCCCTGTCCTGACACAGTATCAACTGCGCTCCCCACGGTGGTCGCGCTCCTGCCCACGCACGCTGATGTTAGGGTCTCATCAAAGTAAAACTCTGTGGTGGTAACATGGCACATTAACTCCTGCTTAGAACTGTGGCTCGAAGGACTTGCTTTTATCGAGCTTGGAACTCTCTGTGGCAGAGAAGGACAGTTGTTGAAAAGTTGAATATATCGACCCTTGCTGCTTGGGGCAAACAATAAAACCGGAAGGCTTGGGAGGAAAGGCTGGAGAATGAAACTTTGGGAGAAAGCAGCTCTGAAAAGCTCCCACCCTTTCCTGGGCACCTAGAAGGCCATGTGATTGCACGGGGTTGAATGCACACTCAGAAGATGCCTGGGAAAGCCGTACCTCTGGCCGGCCTTGAGGTTCTGTGCAGCCCAAGGCAGGGTTGTAAACTGGCTGGCTGAGTGTTGAATGCATGCCCCAGGCTCTCAGCTCATCTGCAGACTGGAAGAGTTTCTCTCGCTCTTTTTTTTTGTTTTTTTGTTTGTTTGTTTCAGAGTTTTGAGGAAGTGTGTGATGACTCGCTGGCTGACCACTAAGCTGACTGAACAGAGACTGCGATTGCCACAAACAACAAAGAGCGCAGACTACAAGATCAGCTGAGAAAAGCCACTGCACAAATGAACCCTGTAGAGAGAAGAGAATCTGGTCTCCAGACTTCTGCATTATCATATGGAAAATACCAGTTTTCAACAACAAAGAAATTTTGAGGCATGTAAAGAAACAAGAATGTTGGGCCCGCATGCAGGGAAAAAAGTTATTAGTAGAAACTGTCCTTGAGGAAGCCCAGCCTTTAGACTTACTAGACGCAGACTTCAAATCAACCATTTTAAACACGCTCAAGGAGCCAAAGGAAGCCATGGGAGTGACGTCTCACCAGACAGAGAATATCAGGGAGGGGACAGAAATAATAAAAATGAGCCAAACAGGATTTGAGGAAGGTGGAGCAGGAGGCACCCAGAATCTGTCTCCACCTAGACTTGCAGTGGGAATTCCACCTGGTGATTTGGGAACTCCAGAGTCTATTGAAGGTTTGCAACTTTTAGGGGGAGGATTGGACAGTAAGTTGCAGTTAATTTTGCTCAAATCCAGCTCTTAGCGCAGTTACAGATACCCCACCCCACTCCCAGCCCTGCGGCAGGCAACTGTGCACATGCTCCTGGAGCAGTCCGCGCAGGCCTGTGGGAGCCAGAGTGGGCGAAAAGTCCCCCTCCCCCAAATAGCGGTATCTGTGTTCTGATGGCTGATTGCCGCCTCTGATCACAGAGGTGCAGAGAGGCTAGAGGCCATTGTTGCTTCACCTTCCTCGTTGCAGGCTCCTCCCCCTCCAGCTGAAGAGTGAACATGTCCTCATTCTGTGAGACCAGCATTACCCTAATACAAAAACCAGATAAAGACATAAGAAAGTAACACTAAAGTCCAGTATCTTGTGAACATAGGTGCAGAAATCCTCAGCAAAGTATTAGCAAGTTTGTTGGTTTATCTCAGATGAGCAAGGCTGTCTCAGCATTTGAAAGTCAACTTACGTAATCCATCTCATCAACGGGCTTTAAAAAATAAGTTACATGATTACATCAATCGATAACAGAAAAAGCATCTAAATCCAATGTCCATTCATGATAAAAACTGAGTAAAATAAGAATAAAGGGGGAACTTCCTCATCATGATAAAGAATATCTACAAACAGCCTGCAGTGAACATCATACTTAGTGGTGAGGAACTGGAAGTTTTCCCACTAAGATCAGGAATAAGGCAAGGGTGGCCCTTCTGATCACTGTTTTGACATTGTACTGGAAACCCAAGCTACTGCGGTAAGACAAGAAAAGGACTTAAAGGGTATACAAATTGGAAGGAAGAAATAAAACTGCCTTTGTTCTCAGATGATATGATAATCTATGTAGAAAATTTGAAAAAATTTACAACCACCCGTCTCCCCCAGAACTAATAAGTGATTATAGCAAGACTGCAGGATACAAAGTCAGTTCCTTTCCTGTGTATCAGCAGTGAGCACGTGGAATTTGAAAATAAAAATAAAATACCATTTACATTAGCACCACAAAAATAACATACGTAGGTAAAAATATAGCAAAATACGTGAAAATCTGTATAAGGAAAACTATAAAACTGATCAAAGAAATCAAAGAACTAAATAGATGGAGAGATAGTCCGTGTTCATGGAGAGCAAGACTCATTATTGCCAAGATGTCACTTCTTCCCAACTTTAGCTAAAGATTCAGTGCAATCTCAATCAAAATCCCACCAGGTTATTCTGTGGATTTTGAAAAGCTGACTCTAGAGATTCGATGGAGAAGGGAAAGACCCAGAATAGCCAATACAATACAGGAGAAGAACAAAGTTGGAGTGGAGTACCTCACTTCAAGACAACTCTGAAGCTACCGTTACCAAGAGTGACACTGTTGAAAGAGTAGACAAGTAGACCAGTTGAACAGAATAGAGAGTGCAGAAACAGACCCACATAAACACAGCCAACCAGTCTGACCAAGGAGCAAAAGCAATACAATGAACCAAAGAGTCTTTTCAGCAGTGTTTGAATCACTGGACAGTCACATAAAAAAAAATGTAGACTTAAATGTAAAAGTCAAAGCCATGAAACTCTTAGAAGATAACACAGGAGAAAACCTAGGTGACCTTGGTATGGCAGTTACTTTTTAGTTATGATGCCAGGGGGATAATCCATGAAAGAAATCATTGACAAACTGGAATTTGCTAAAATTAAAAAGTTCTACTCTGAAATGCACTGTTAAGAGTGGAAAACAGGCCACAGACTGGGGGAAAATCTTTGGAAAACACTTATCTGATAAAGGACTGGTAAAAAAGAACAATTAAAACTCGGTAATAAGAAAACAGCCCAATGAAATAACGGGCTGAAGACCTTACAGACACTTCACCAAAGAAAATAGACGCATGGCAAATAAGCACATGAAAAGATGCTCTATGTTATATGCCGTCAAGGAACTGCAAATTAAAACAATGAGGTACACTACGCATTTACTAGGGAGACCAAAATTTGAAACACTGACCACACCAAATGCTGGTGAGGATGTGGAGCGACGAGAACTCATTCATTGCTGGTGGGGGTACAAAACGCCCACTTGGGAAGATGGTTTGGCAGTTTCTTAACAAAACTAAACACACTCGCCATGTGATTCAGCAGTCGTGCTCCTTGGTATTTAGCCAAAGGAGCTGAATACTTAGTCCACTTAAAAGCCTGCACGTGGAATTTTATAGCAGATTTATTCGTAATTGTCAAAACTTGGAAGCAGACCGTCCTTCAGTAGGTGAATGGATACGTAAACTGTGTACCTTTAAACAATGGAATATTATTTAGCAGCAAAAAGAAATGAGTAATCCATAAAAAATGCAGAGGAAATTAAAATGAATCTCATTAAATGAAAAGAGGACAATCTGAAAAAGATATAATGCTATATGATTCCAACCACATGACATTCTGGAAAAGGCAAAATACGGGGACTAAAAAGATCAGTGGTAGCCAGGGGCTAGGGGGATGGAGGGAGGAACAGGTCAAGCTCCAAAGATTTTCACAGCAGAGAAAACAGTCTGTATGATGCTGTGACGATGAGTGTATGGCATACGTGTGTCCAAACCCATGGAACGTACAACGCCAAGAGTAAATCCTACAGTAAACTATGGACTTTGAGTGGTGATGACGCGTCCCTGTGTGTTCACCCGCTGTGACAGGTGTACCACTCTGGCGGAGGATGTTGATAATGGGGAGGCTGCATGTGTGGGGGCGGGGGCCATATGGGAAATCTCTTACCTACTGTTCATTATTGCTGTGATTAAAACTGCTCTAAAATAAAGTTTTTTTTAAAAAAAAACCCTTAACATCTAGACTGGTTTGACAAAAAACCTGGGTACCATAGCCTAGCCAAGTTGACTATTAAAATTAACCGTCACGTTAGGATATTGATTGTAATTCCCAGAGCAACCAACCACTAAGAAAAATAAGTAAAACATACGTAAGAAAAGAACGGAGATGGGGACCAAAATGGCAGGGTGGCACGTAACCTGTGTGACACCACAAAGGGAGCAGTGGGGGAACTGAGGACCAAGGAAGATAACGGCGTACAGAAAACAAGCAGCAAACTGGCCGAGGTAAGTGCTTCCTTGGCAGTAATTGCGTTAATGTGAGTGTTTTTTCCGATCAAAGGACAGACATGGGCGGAATGGATTTTTTTTAAAGTGATCCAACTATATGCTGTCTATAAGAGAAGTACTTTGTCTCCAGAGACACAGATAAGGGTGAACGTGGACGTATGGGGAAAGATGTTGGGTACAGATACCAGAAGCACTCAAGGCACAACTTCCTGTGGGAGGTGAAGGCACTGCCCCGTTACAAAGGGTCAGTTGGTTAAGAAGGTACAAAACTTACAGATGCATGGGCATCTGACCACAGAGCCCCAGTAAACAAGGAAAAACTGGCAGAACTGAAGGAGCAGATAGACAATTCAACAACAGTTGTAGGCTTCGGCGCTGACTTTCATGATCAATAGAACTAGACAAATGGCCAATAAGGGAAAGAAGGGTTCAAACGCTGTAAACCATTAGACTTAGTGGGCAGTCACAGAGCAGAGTGCGCATTCTTCTCAAGTGCGTGCGGAACGCTCTCCGTGAGAGACCCTAAAGCAGGCCACAGAGCAAGTCTCAGTACACTTAAAATGGTTGAAACCATCAAAGTGCCTTCTCTGACCAGAATGCCGTAACGTAGAAATCAGTGACAGAAGGAGGTCTGGAAAACCACACACACACGGGAACCAAAACCATTTTAGAAGAACCGGCGGGGTGAAAGAAGAAATCGGAAGGGGGGTTAGAAAGTACTTGGAGATGAATGAAAATGCAAGCAAAATACCAAGGCTACGTGATACAGTGAAAACACTCTCCAGAGAGAAAGTTAAAGCTGCAAGTGGCTGTATTTAAAAAAGAAAAAATCTTTTTTAAGAAACTTAAAAAAAAAAAACGGAGAGGTTATAGCTGAGTGGCAGAGCGCATGCCTTGCTAGCATGAGGTCCTGGGTTCAGTCCCCAGGATCCCCATTAAGAAAACAAGTAAATAAACCTAAGTACCTCCCCCTGCAAAAAACTAACTAACTACACCCAAAGCTATCAGGAGGATGAAAATGATAGATTAGAGCAGAGATAAGTCAGATAGAAAAACAATAGAGAAGATCAGTGAAACCCAGAAGCTGGTCCTTTGGAAAGTTCAGCAAAATTGGCCAGCTGTCAGCTGGACTGGCTAAGGAGAAAACAGCCAAGACCCAAATGACTGAAAGCAGAGGCAGAAGTGGGACCCTCACCACAAACTTCACAGAAGCAGGGATCGGGAGCGGGCACACCAGCAGGCTGGGTGACCTGGAGGGGATGGACGGACTCCTGGAAACACACAGACCAACAAAACTGACTCGAGAAGAAACAGGACATTTGCACAGACCTAAAGCAAGTGAGGAGACTGAATCAGTACCAAAAAGTTCCAGCAAAGCAGCCCAGGGCCAGACGGCTTCACCCATGAATTCTAACAGACGTTTGGAGAATTACCACCAATTCTTCCTAGACTCTTCCAAAACCTTACAGAGGAGAGTTATAGACTGAATGTCTGTGTCCCCTCAAACTTCAGTGTTGAGGCCCCAACCCCTGATATGGCTGTCTTTTGAGATAGAGCCTTTGTGGAGTAATTAAGGCTAAATGTTGAGGTCGTAAGATAGGGGTCAGATCTAATAGGCTTTGTCTCCTTGTAAGAAGTGACAGGATCAGTCTGTCTGTCTGTCTGTCTCTCTGCCTTTCCCTTCTGTGTGAGGACACAGTGAGAAAGCAGCCATCTACATGCCTAGAAAGCAGCTCCCCAGGAGAGAAACAACTGGCACCTCAGTGTGGGACTTCCAGCCACCACAACTGTGAGAAAGCAAACTTCTGTTGTGTGAGCACCCAGTCTGCGGTGTTTTGCCACGGCAGCCTGAGGAAGACAAAAAGGGAGCACTTCCTAACTCATTCTACGAGGCCAGCATTCCCTGGTACCACAGCCAAAGGCATCACGTGGAAAGAAAACTGTAGACCATTATCTCTCGTGCTACAGACGGGAAAATCCTCCGCAAAGTACTAGCACATCAAATCCTGTATTGCTTTGAAAAGACCATACTCATGACTCGGTGGGGTTTATTCCAGGAATGCAAGGGTAGATCAGTATACAGAAATCAGTCAGGACCAGCCAGAAGCTGTGTCGTGAACCTCAGAAGCATTGTGCCAGGTGAAAGAAGACACAAAGGGTCCATCCAGTGACATCGGCATTCTAACCAGAGTGGCAATGTTCAGCCTCCGATGCTGAATCCAACTAAATTCTAATCAGGAACAGAGAAGAATTACCAACCGGTCAATATTAAGAAACTTTTCATTTCTGGGTTCGTCAGAGTCTACTGAGTCTGGATCCTACAACATCAAAGTAAAATAGTGAATTAAGTGTAAAAGTCAAGTGGTGTCACACAACGTTATCAACAGAATGAAAGGGAACCCTCCCACGTCATCATCTCAATTGATACAGAAAAAACATTTGAAAAAACTCAACATGCTTTAATGATAAAAACATTCAACCAACTAGGAACAGGAGAGAAACTTCTCCACCTGGAAGGGGGCATCTAAGAAAAGCCCACAGCTACGATTATACTTGACAGTGAAGGACAATTTTACCCTCAAATCAAGAACAAGATGTCCTGTCTCACCACTTCTGCTCAACATTGTACTGGGCGTTCTGAGCAGAGAAATTAGGCGAGAAGTAAAACGAACGCCTTACAAATTGGAAAGGAAGAGGTAAAACTATCACACATAGAGAATCCTGAAGAATCCACACCAAAGCCTGCCTGGGCGCTAGTAAACAAGGTCGCAAGGCTGCAGGGTGAGAGACCAGTGGCCCAGACCAGGGCGTTTCTGCAGCCTGGAGATGAGCAGTCTGCCAGCGAGAGTCTGTTTGGAGTTGCAGCCGGACGGGTGAGATGCTGGGGGTGCTGCCGTCTCGACAGTAGTAAGTCTTCCAGCCCCTGAACGCGGGGTATGTTGCCGTTTATTTAGGTCTTTAATTCCTTGAGCGATGTTTTGAAACGGTCAGCAACGTATGACATCTCACTGTCACTTTGGTTTACATTTTCCTGACAGCTAGTGACTCTGAGCATCTTTCCATGTGCCTGTTGGCCATTTGTGTTACGTTTTTTTTTTTTTTGGAAACATAGACGTCTATTCAGGTCTTTTGCCCATTTTTAAATTTGATTTTTTTTTTTTGCTGTGGGTTTTTTCGGGGTAGGACATTAAACCCTTACCAGACACAGGCCTGGAAACCTTCCTCCCCTCTGTAGGCTGTCTTTTCACTTTGCCGGTTGCCTCTTTCGATGCACAGATGCCTTTTAATTCGATGTGGTCCCTCCTGTTTACTTTTTATTTTACTGCTTGCGCTTTAGGGGTCACACCAAAAACGTTACTGCCAGGACCCATGTCAAGGAGCTTCTTGCTGCGTTTCCTTCCAGGAGTTTCATGGTTCCAGGTCTTCATTTAAGTCTCTAACTCATTTAGAGTTAATTTTTGTGAGTGGGGTAAGACAGGAATCTGGTTTCATTCTCTTCCACGTGAATTTCCAGTTTGTTTAGAATCATTTATTGAAGAGACGGTCTTCTCTCCACTGAGTGTTTTTGGCTCCCTTGTCAAATGTTAGTTGCCTGTGAATGCTTGGGTTTGTTTCTGGGCTCTCCGTTCT